GGTTGCATGACATCTATTGGCTTTTACAACAGTAGCAAGCCCTGTGCCTTCACTGTGTTAGATGTGGAGGCATTTTTGTGCTGTAATAAACCTTCTGGCTCAGCCATTTTACTACAGAGGAATTTGGAGTCCTAGTGCTCTGTTACATGTTGCATGTACAGGTAACGAATGACTCCTACCCCAAAGTGCCTTTGAGATGCCAGTTTGCTTTGTGATGGAGAATGGGTGAATAAAACAGGGCACAGGTGAGGAGGGGGATTGGTACAAGACATGATTGCGTTAGGTTTATCTCCAGCTACCTACAAGGTGTAGAATCAAGTTGTCTTACTCACATTTCCTTTAAACTCCAACTGAAGTGGGCCGCAGAGGTGTTCATCAGAAGGTTCTTTGAGGGCTCATGAAGATGTGGCCAGGCTCTTTCTTTATATGCCTCTTAACAGCAGAGCTCAATGCAGAGATGAGTGTTTTCAGACACTGTAATCCCTTAGTGATGGTGTACGTGTTTTAAATTGTGGAATATGTGACTTGTGTAATAACTTTTACCATAGACAATACAAGCTAGGGGTGGTGGACTTTCTATTTTCAACCTGATTATGTTGTCAATAACACATTTAATGAGATAATTAAAGTATTTTCTGAACGTTTCCACTAAGAGGTTTAACAAATGAAAATTGGGTGAGTGAGCTAGAATGCTGGTGAAAAATTAATAATCCTTTCTTGATGTAGTTCTCGAAATTGCTTTTCCTGCAACTTAGGAAATTGAATTCTTGTTTTGGTCTTCTACAGAAATAAAACTGGAATCACAGAATGAAGTCCACAGTAGTGTGGACTTCAAACTCATTTTTATTTCTTTTTTTTTTCCTTTTTCTTCTTCCCCCTTCCTCTCCCACCCCCCAAATGCTTGTCTTAAACCCTTGGGGTGGTAATGCTCTAGATAATCATATGCATTGGTTTAAAGCATGTGGTTGCAAGTATTGAACTGGCACATCACTAAACCAGTAAGAATGACCTGCCTTGTAGTAGTCACCTGGGGCAGGGAGATCACTTTCATGACTTTCAGGATGTGCCAATACAAGTCTCACTTGATTGTGAAGCTTCCTCAGATGCTGCTCTTGTAAGTGCTGGTCCGAAGAAGGATATTGATGGAGGTTTTCAAGAACAGGTCTTGTAGCTGAACTTGCTTAAATGTTTCCTCCAGACATTCCTTCTTCCAGTGCTGATGTAGTAATTTGCTGATGATGTGAAGTTGGGTGGTACAGGAGAAAGTCAGAGCACAGCACTGAGAGGTCTGTGTGCTGATGAGGACTGCAGTCCTCCAAATGGGGTGTTGCTCAGAATGTAAGGTTTTATGCCTGGGGACTCAGGAATTTGGTAAAGTAAGAGCTTGCCAACTAAAAGCTAGAACAATTAGGTCTGACTGCAGGCAGGCTGAGCCGTCAAGGTCAGGAAAAGATAATTCCAGCTCAAGGTGTGCCTAATAGAGATGGAAATATTAACGTCCCTGTATATGTGACAGGGAGATCTCACCTAGAATGATGTGTGCGGTTCTTCTCACTGCATGGAAAAGAAATTGAAAAAACTCACAGGGAAGTTGTTTGGGGAAATGGATAGTCTGTTTATAAGGAAACCTTTGAGAGATTGGCTTATTTAGCTAGTAGAAGAAAGCTGAGAGAAGATGTGGTTGCTTTCTGTAAATACCCCAGCATAAACACCACTGGGAGAAGAAACTAATAAGCTAATGGACAATGCTGGCACATGAACACCACCATCAGCTGACCACTAATTTCTTCTGGAAATTAGAAGGCAATTTCTAACCATTAGGAGTGAGTTTCTGGAAGAAAGGCCCAATAGAAGTGTGTGTGCAGGAACAATTAGCTTTAACGTGGAACTAGATAACGTCATTTCCCTCCCAGAAACTGTTTGCCTGGGATAGTTAGAATGGGACTCAGGCATCCAGGGTCATTCCCACTGTATTTCTATGCTAAGAATATAATACATGGGAACATTGTGTAGTATAAAATATCAAAATGAGTTGGTTTGATAAAGAAAGCAAAATTAAAACTAAACTAATAATACAGTCTGAGTGGCTGTTAAAGTTGTTTCAGTTCATAATTGTATTCAAAGAGTGATACTTGCTCAGACTGGCAGAAATGCAGAAAGTGTGAGGAGTCTTAGGCGCCTGCTGACACTGCAAGCTGGTCTTGTGTCCCTGTTCAGGAGTAGCTGCAATAGCCCAATTAAGTAGAGGAAATAGCTGACTTCAAGGAGGAAAGTCTAATATTTTCCCCTTTTAATTGGAACGTATTAATCTGGTACTGGAAACCATTCAGAACATAAGCATCATGGGATTCAGACAAGGTAAGGAGAAAAACTTGGCAGAGGAATTAAAATGATCAGTCTGTTATTTAATGACTTAAAGCTCTGCTTTGAAATATGCACTGAACAACATAAAAATATGTTTTGAGGGGAATACTTAAAAGGTATATGATGCATCCTGTTGAGAAAAGGAAATTATGTGTGTAGATTGGTTTCCTTGTATGGAGAAGTTTTCAGCAGCTGCCAAAGCTAATGCTGGGTGATAGCAGGACTGAGGTGTGTGAAGGCAGCTGACAACTTTTGCCACCTAGGAACTTGTTGTTTGTAACCATCCCAGTGAATACAGACATGATGTCATCTAAAACTGTGGCCCAAACCTGTCAAAATAGTATTGAACAACTTATTTGCCAATGAAAGAGGAAAGCTATGGCAGTTTGCCAGGTGGTGATGACGCAATTGGGTGCCCTGTCCCCTACACTAAGTTTATTACGCTTTAGCATCTTTTGTGCCAGCCAAAGCTGTTCAGCTGTGTCAGGGCAGCTGACGCTGAGCAGAGCTGACCTGTCACGTAGAAAAGCAGAATCCTATTTGCATTCAGCATACGTGCTTGCCACCTACCTGCACTTGTGATCTTCATAAACAGAAGTGGTTAACAGAGACACTCTGTGCTTTATGCAACTTCTGTAGCTTGGCTGGCTGCGTGCTGAGTCAGCTGGCAGAGGAAGCTGGAAAGATGTTTATTTTGATGAAGTATTCTCTACAAGGCCATGTTTGAAGCTAGCATTTGCTGCAATTTTCATTTTATGGAGAGTCTTTAAAAGGTGCTTCTCTGCCCTTACAGTCAGAGAAAATCCCATTTGTCAGAGTTGTTTTGCATTATTTAAATAGAAGATGGTGTTCAGAGGGCTGCTGTGTGGCGCAGCAGCAGATGGGAGTATTTGCGCTGCTAGGGTAAGACTCGGGGGGGTGGGGGGTGTCTCATGTGACTGAAGTGTGTTTGGTGCACTCATTTCTCTGTTGTACCACACAGGATCTGTAACACTGTTGCAGTGTCTTAACTGGTAAATGATGTATGTTACTGAGCAAGTATTGCTGTTTTTTCAAACCAAGCGTAGCCACAGCGTATTTTTTTTGTCACTCGAGTGTGTGCTCTTTTGCTTTGACTGGCCTTGATTCAGTGCTGAACTTTAAGGTTATTAGTCATTCTTCTCAAGGATCTTACTTGTCCGCTCTTTTCTTCCATTTCCTCCTGTTGCCAGTTCAGTACCTTATCTTCATTAAGGGCATAAGATCGTTTTGAGAGTCTCCTGTTGGTGTGACTCAGGGATGTCAATGTGTTTTGTCCCGTGACGTGCATCTTGGTAGTGAGTTCTAAGTTACACTTAAACTTGCACCTTTAAACTCAGCATTACAGGATATTGCAGCGAATCCTCGTGACACTTTTCTTCCTGTAGGAACTGGACTTTAAACCCTCTGTCAATCTCTTGTCAAGCACAGCCGAATCCTTCCAATTAGTTTCCTTGGCACTGGTGCTGTGATGAGTCAAGCTGAGCCAGGAAAGGGGGAGTGGATGGTGGTTCTAATTCTGAGGCCCAGCAATACCCTTGCAGCATTTTACAGCAGTTTCGGGCTCTGGCTTAAAGCGGCCAGGAGTCACAGCAGTAGTGAGGGACTGCAGAAGAGCAGAGTGCTAACATTTTAAAACTGTCCATCGGGGTGATGGTGGTCTTGTGGGTTTTTGGGGGGTTTGGTGGTACTTTGTTCATTCACAAATTTTTCTGCCCCAGTGGGGAACCTCTCTTCTGCAAAGGTAGGAAAAGTGTAAAATGCAGGCAGAGTCTACTGCCTGCCCTGCATTTTGGACTTCTTCAACAAAACAGATTTCTGTTGGGCAGTGTGTTTTTTTGTTTGGGGTTTTTTTTTGGTGTTTTTTTTTTAGTTCTAGCGTTGTTACAAAGATGTAAAATCCAAACTGTCCCTGACTGACTTTTGCAGTGACAGCCATGTATGCTCTTCCTGGAGAAGGAAAGTTCTTCCATGTTGAGCAAAAGAGACTGAAGTGTAACAAGTAAAAGTTGAGTCTAATGTCTGTTCAAAATGTTAGTGAATATGGCAGCTCTGGTTCTCTAGAAATGTCAACACTTGTACAGACCCATGACAAGGGTGGTGGTTTTGCCGTTCTTTTCCTTCAGTCTTCATTCTGGAAAATAAATGTTTATTTCAGGTGATTGTCAATGTATTGTCTACTTCTGGAATCTGATTATTGTATCATTTTTGTCTTGTAGTTGTACTTATTGGAGACTCTGGAGTAGGCAAGAGTAACCTTCTGTCTCGATTCACTCGCAATGAGTTTAACTTGGAAAGCAAAAGCACCATTGGAGTAGAGTTTGCAACAAGGAGCATTCAAGTTGATGGGAAGACAATAAAGGCTCAGATATGGGACACAGCAGGGCAGGAGCGATACCGAGCTATAACATCAGCGTAAGTGATAGCTTGTATGGCTGAAGAGAAACTTGCTGAGGAGGGTCATTTTGGGCCCTTCTGATTCCTCAGAAACTGCAAACAGGGGGTGTTTGTATTTTATCGTGTAATACTGCAACCTATGGGGGAAGGAAGCTTAAATATTCAGTCCAGAAACTTGATAGAGTGTGTCCCTGCACAAACTGATTTACTTCCCAGTGCTCCCATGTGTAACTAGAGGCGTTTCAAGCCTGGAAGGTAAGAGCTTTGAGAGACTCATTTCAATGCAAGCGATTGATAAAGTAATATCAGTGTTCATGGAGGTTTTATCAGTGGTAACCTAAGACCAGAAACCCTCCCGTAGCAGTAAAGAAAGACTGCTCACTTTGCTTGCTTATTTAATTGGAAAAAAATAGCATAGCAAAAGCTGGATTTAAGTAAAGTTGGAGGTAATTGTAGGGTGAGAGAACACAGCCTGTTTCTTTTTGAATGCATTACTGTGCCTCTCTCTGGTCTGAAAGGGGACCGACTGTGGCCTTTTCTAAAGGAATAGATCAGGTTGACATTTTCATGATCCAGTGAGTCATTCTAAAGTCTCTCTATCACTATGGGCTGTGCCCGTACTGCACCCACAGTGATGGGTGGGGGCGACTTTTTAGGAGTGGATCTGAGGTTGAAGGTGACAGTACCTCCGCACAGATTCCAGAGCTTCATTTTTGGGATGCAGGGTTCTCCCCACAAGCATGGGGCTTGGGTTACCCCCTACACTCTGAGCTGCCATGACTGCTTTGGTGGTCCTGTGGCGTAAGCCTAGTCTGGATGCTCTATTTCACTGCTTCAAGTCCCACGTAGCCTGCTTCTGGATATTTTTTTGTATAGGTGTCTTAGTAATAGCTATTTCCCATTATTGCATAGTAACTTGTCACTTGTAATCATAGTGTTTCTTGCTGGTTCTCTAACATGTCTCTTCACCACAGGTACTATCGTGGAGCTGTAGGGGCATTATTGGTGTATGACATTGCTAAGCACCTTACTTACGAGAATGTAGAGCGATGGTTGAAAGAGCTGAGAGATCATGCTGACAGCAATATTGTGATCATGCTTGTGGGAAACAAGAGTGACTTACGCCACCTGAGAGCAGTACCTACAGATGAAGCCAGAGCTTTTGCAGGTTGGTGAACTCAAAATAATTTCCTAATGCTAATTGTCTGGGGATCTGCCTACCTGGTCTTTGATATGCAGGTGTGCTGGTAGGAGGAAAAAGAGTGCTGCTGGTGATGTTCCTCAGTGTCACATACTGGTGTTTCCCTCTTTTTTTTTAATTTGGTCAAAAAGGAAGCCTTGTAGAACAATGCATGCTGATGTGGTTTCAAGAAAATTGAAAGTTTTAAACCAGATTTATTCTCTTGCCTATGCATTGCTTTTCTTGCAGAAACTGTGCCTATGGCTTAAGGTTTGCATTTCTTGTATGGTGGTAGCGTTGCACCTGTATATTGCCTTCTTTGTACCAGCGGATCTGGATCACTATGCAGATGCCGATGGCTGAACAGACTTTCATTAAACTGGCTTTCTGACTCCTGTTACATAATTAAGTTCTGTGAAAAATAATTCTAGTTTCTGTAAATCTTGCCTTGTTTTAGGCAAGTCTGTTTCATCCAGGAGTGTAGATGGGTTTCTTACATTAAGGCTTGCTGAAGCTGCATTTGCAGAATTTATGGCCAGTGAGGATCCCTGCCTGCAGGTGGAGGACTGTCATTCCCCAATAGGGCCAGCTCTGTTAAATAAGCTGCCATGTCATACCAGCAGGTGGGAGGTGGAGAAACTTGATGAGGTTAAAGAAAATCCAGGAAGCTTCCTCACACAATTTTTGAAAGTGCAACAAATTCTCACTCTCAGTGATGCAGGAAGATGTGCCTAAAAGTACAGCACTGGACTGATCCCTGTGCTTGGGGATTAGTGTAAATTCTAATGTTGGAGTTCGACGGTGTTGCTTTCAGATCACGTAAGGGGGAAAAACCCCACAACTTCTTATAATTTTTCTTTATACCTGTGCGTCTCATCGGGAACACCACAAATATAATCTGGTAGAGAAGTTCTTCCAGATGGGAGGCAGATATGTGAGGTACCCCTCTAATTATAGTATTTCTGTCCACACAGAGAAGAATGGTTTGTCATTTATCGAGACATCTGCTTTAGACTCAACAAATGTGGAAGCAGCTTTCCAGACTATTCTGACAGGTGAGTCATCTAGTGCTTTGTCTTTCAAGGGAGAAGGGCAGAAGGCTGCTCAGATATGATGCAAATAGGCATTTCTTTGCCTATAAAGTGTTTAAAATGTTGCTATTTATCATTCTTCACAGCCATAAGATTTGGAGTCCAGTTTTGAAGTGTCACAGTTGAAAGGCCAGCCTTGAACCCAGGAATGAATCCTTCTCCACTTTGATCTGCCCCAGGTTTCTAGTCAGCCTAGTTTAGGTTTCAGTTTCCCATTTGTGTATAGTATAGGGAGTGTCCGTGGGAGAGAATTGTCTCATGCAAGCATCAAGTTAAAATAGCCATTGTTTATCAGAGGAGAAGTCAATCTAGTTTGTTTCCATCTTTAATGGTCACCACAGCAGTTGCCAAGGGAAAAGGGATGAAAGAGTAAAAATCCTTCCTTTGAACAGTACTGGTAGTCTGAAATGCAGTGACTCCTGAGCTGCTGCGTGGTCACCGTCATTGCATTTAATAGTCCTGGCTGAACTTTTGGCCTCTATAACATGTGATGGCAGTGAGTACTGTTTTTTATGCTCTGTGGATAAAGTACTTGCTTTTTGTTTAAACCCCTTTTTAGATAGGCAAAACTTGTTAATAGTATGAGACCTTCAACTACAGCTATGTGGGGGACCATAACATAACCATGGCTTGTAAAAGATAGGGAAGGAATTCACAAATTGGTGTGGAAATCACTAGCTGTCATGGGACTTTTGTATTGCTGCGTACCTTGTCAGCTGTAGGCAGGGCATAGTGGGACGACAGTGGCGTGTGTGACTTTTGAGCTTTTGTCATTCCCAGCTTTGGCAAAAGCCTTTCCAAATCTCTAGTCTGGGTCTTCAAAACATCTGAGAGACTCCTCTGTTTTCATATGTCTCTCTGTTCTAGATGTGCCAGGGAGTCTGTCTGTTTTCTCTGAGTGCCTCCAACATATTTCCTGGTTGCAAATTTAAACTCTCTCCTTCCCAATGTAGCATGTGCCAGGCTACATGATCTGCTTGGTATGAGCAGTGGCCCCACTTTTAAAATATGTGTCTCTATTAATCAGATCTCATTGCTGTGATGTTGTCACCTAGTTAGTTTTGAATTTTTTTTTTCTTTGCCAGCTAATTTAGTCATTCTTTTAAAAATGCACCAAAAAGGACTTATTAGCCGTACTGGAACATGTAGGTGAAGAGGCAGCTAGGAACTTATTTACTGTTATAAAACTATAAATTATGTAGCATTTTCTTGAGTTGCTTGAAATGCTTTATGAACACCCTAGCAGTGAAGAGAGAGAGTTGTTGGCCTGCTGGAGTATTATCTGCCTCTGTCCATCTGTTTCTTTTCTTATCCTTAGTTGTAAGAGGCCTCTGATATGTTCTGTTGTGTGTTTTTCACAGTGGATTTCTAAGCAGTAGTGCTCCTGTCCATATACTAGCAAAAAAGTGTGTCAGTGTTAGATGAATCAACAGCGTGTAGGGACGCTTGTCCTCTCGCAGCTTCATGCAATGCTGGGACTAGAACTTGAGTTCATTTCCTCTTCAGCTGAAACATTTGGTTCCCTTTTAACTTCAGTGTAGTCATTTGGTTGTAATTCAACCTTGTACAAGTTAAAAAAAGAGAGAAGTTGTGTTAGCTTGTACGTTTACTCCCTACGTGACTAACTACTAACGCCATTGGAGGGTAGATGGCTAAGGAGTGGCTGAATGCGATGGTATCTGGGATGCCTGCTGGATTTCCTGTTTTCTTCACCTATTTAAAGACAGTCCTGTCAAAAATGCCCATAAATATGGACATGGATTTTTTAGGAGAAAGACTTTTTTGTTGCTTACTTGTAACTGCTAAAACCTGAAACTTCTTCCTTTATGCACGTGTCCTTGGTAGCCTCTCTCCTCTCAGGAGCACCTAGCCTGAACTTTGAGGTCAGGTTCTGGCAAAATGTGCTGTGTGTAACGTAGAACAGCCTTGCTGCCTGTGCGTTCAGTGTTCAGAGGAGATGAGGTCTCTCAGATGATGAAGATTAGTTAATTAACTTTCATACTCATTCACCACCAGCACTAATAAAACAGAACTGGAAATATATCAGACATTGTTTATCCCCTCCCAAGATGGCTGTCAGAGCCAATATAAACTGGTCACCTAATTGCCCCCATCTCCTGTTGGACTGTTCTGGTCTCTAACAGTGATGGCTGAAGAGTGGAAAGTTTCCTGCATGCCCTGGGCTGCTGGCTTATTTCCACAGAGCTGTGTGACGCTCAGATGATATACTGCTGTTGCCATGGGGAAGCAGTTCACCTCTTGGGCACAGACTAGATTGTTTCTTTATCTCTCCTCTCATGCTTCCAACAGTGTCTTTTATTCCAGAAGTTATTTTGGATTCTAATTCTCAGAGGTTTTATTTTTATTTTTTTTTCTGGTTTAACTTTTCTGTGAGGGAGAGCAGTCTGTAATGGGAAAACAAGCGATTAAAACTTGCCCTCGGTGGACTCTGACAGATTGTTGAGGCTGTTGCTTTTCCACAAACTTCAATGTTCCCTGCGTGTTGCTCTGACAGTGTTTTGGGTAAAGAGCTCTTGGGTATGCGGACAGGATCCTTGTTCAGGAGGGCTTGGTTCAACTGTGCTGGAAGAAACACTTCTGCTGATTAGTGGGCATGTGGCTCACTCCAGACAGGAGCTCCTGTTTCAGGGAGATAAAGATGAAGTAAATAATGCATTAGCAGCAGGTTGGCTCCATCTCGGCTGTGACTGGCATGCTAAGGACGCATGTTCTGCCAATAAACTTCTCGATAACACTTCACAGCTGGCTCTTTCTGTTAATGATTTGCTTTGAAGGAAAGAGGGGAGCAGTCATCTGAGGAATGTGGTTTTCAGACTGACCCTGCAGAATCATGGATAGTCTGTATTTGGCAAGGCTGCCTCCAAGCATAGTGCCTGCGGGTGGAATGCTCACAGTCCTTTGAAGAAGGAAGCTGGTAAAGCCAACAGGCTTTGCCACAGGCTGCGAGCGGAGGTGGCTGACAGAAGGGGCACGGCATGCTGCTGCACCAGCTCTGCTAGTATTTGCAGTGCTGGGAACTGCACCGCGGAGACATCCCAGGCTGCAGTTGATGCTTTTCACACAGCTGCTTAGATCTCTCCTGAACAGGGTGTCACAACCAAGGTCTGTAGCAAAACTCCTTCCTTTCTTCTCCAGCCCTACTGAAGCTGGTCTGGTTGGGACAGCGATGGAAACTTGTAAGAGTACTTTCCTTGGAGTTGTAGCAGGGTCTTTGTTAAGCTTAACCACGCCTAGATTCTCAGATTAAGCCACTTTGAATAGATGGCTTTAGGCATGGGAAATAGGAATCCATTATAGTTAGCACAGCCCAAGTAGGTATGTGATCTGCTGTTACAGGTGGAAGAAGAGGGGGGAAGATTTTCTTTCCTCTTTGTGTATTATAGAGGACTTTTAGAGGGGGTGTATATCTTAAATCTAGTGGGCTTCCTGTCCTGCTGTGGATTCCAGATGAGGTTTTGGGGACGTTTTCCTTCTGTGGCTTAGAGTTATGGTCCCTATCCAAATTCTTCTATTGCAAGATGTCTAGACTTCAAGGGCTGATTGTTGTGCACAACAAAGCCGCTTTGTATCATCTGGCAAATAGGAGAGACTGGTATTATAATCCTCGCCACTCTGAGCATTCACAGCAGGATAAAGCATCCTTAAAGTAAACTGGTCTGCCCCTGTTCCCTGCCCGGCTCTATGCTATCTCTGTTCCTGTACTGCATTCTGCTGTGGTTTCATCTCTAAGGAATCCCATCTCCAAGGAAACAACATCACAGAGCATTAACGTCAAAAAATGTAGGGATTTCCTCTTTTGTTAGCTCTGTACACCTGAAAATGAACGAAACACTAGTGCAGGCTGAGCAGACACGGACTGGACAAGCTCCTCCTAGGCAGCAGTGTCACTTTTTCCCAGCCCTCTTACAGTGCAAGGCCTGTCTCGCACAGTTAGTAATTATGCAGTGATGCATTCTGCTGTGTGTGCTCTTAATAAGGTCTCATTCAGTTACTGAGCAGAGCATAAAGTGTAGTGTCTTCATTAAAAAGCGCATGTCTTCATCAGCCTGGCATTCCTCAGTGCAGACCAGTTTCAGTGTAGGCTTTGCCGCTGGGCATTTTGCCCCAGTGAGAGCAGGTTTAAGCTGTTCCCACCTCTCCTTTCACACCAGCACAGCTGTGTGTGGTGGAAGAGTGTACAGCTGATCCAGGGAAAGGCAGGTTTTAGCCGTTTAGGCTTTCATCTTAGGACAGTATGCTGTGGCTGCTCAAAGGTTTGCACTACAGAGGAGGGAGAAGCAGTAGTGAGCAACGACTTTGGGGCTGCTGCAAGCTGATTCAAGCAGCACAGCTGCTAAATGTCCTTGCAGGACTGCTGGGGAGGCTGTGGAAGCGGGGTTCATGGAAATATGTTCCCAGAGACAGAAGGGATAGACTCTTTATCAGCAATCAGCGCTGTTAAGATTGTTGTTAAGGCTTCAGGGCTGTTTGCTGAAGATCTTTGCTGTAAGATGAGGGTGTGATACAGAGGGCACCCTGGCTGCCAGTCCTTACTTGGTGGTGGAAGTGTGTGACAGCTCATGTTAGGGACTAGTATGAACTTGTTTGGGAAAACTGAGAATTGTTGCTGCCGTAGGTGCTACTAGAGAGTTTCCAGTAATGAAGGTGGCAACGGCCTTCGCCTGTTGAGTAGGAAGGGGCAGCGTTCTGCGCCTGAGGTAACCTGTCTGTCTGCGCTGGGGCAGGGTGGTGGAGCAGGAGAATGCAGAGTAGCGCTCTTCCAGCTGCGCTCCTCCTGCCGCACACAGGCACTCTGCTGAACACTGAGTGGCCTGTCACAGTGCGGGCCTGATCTGTATCTGCAGCTTCCCACATGCGGTTGCTGGTAGTTTTAGAGGTCTGGTTTCATGGGATTCATTTGACTTGTGAAGTTGCTTATGTGTAAGACTGTTGGAAAGAAGAGTGAACTCCAGAGAAAGGGAGAAATCAGAAAATCCTTTTTCATGTGCAGCTCTTGTTTGGTTGCCTCAGTGACTTCATCGGTAACTGAATGTGTATGTGAAATCCATTTTTCTGAACACTTTATCCCTATCTGAGCTGCCCAACAGGCAGATTCTTTCAAAGCCCCACTTGCAAAGGTTAACATTACTTGTACATTCCACAGATAAAGCACAGCATCTACACGAGAGATTTTTATTTTGCCAGCAGTCCCATGGATGTGTGCAGCCCTGCTTTTAATTGTCCTGGGGAGCACTCAGCCTCTGTTTGTGTTGGCAGCTTAAATCAGTGCAGGCTTGTTGCATCAAGGGCAAGGTTTTCGAGCCTTGTTTGTCACGGACCTTCTTCAGCGCTTCAATGCCGTCTCTTCCCATTGTCGTAAAAGCAGGCGCTTAGCTGTGTGATCAGCCCTTGGCAGCAGAGAGGCTTCTCTGCACAAGGTTGCTCAATTTCCAGTACTGAAATGATGTCAGGATGTGCGCTAAGCAGCAGCTCATTAAAGTTCCGAACAAAGGCTACTCGCTAATGACAAATTTCTGGTGGAAAAGACGAGTCTTGGTTTGGGGTCAGGCGAGGTGTGTGTTTGGACAGTCATTATCCAGCTGATAAGAGACTTCAGACCTCCAAAAGAACTTGGACCTTTGCTTTGGTCATCAGAGTTGTTTGCGAGCTGTGCTGTTCCCTGCTTTGCTCTGCCGGAGGAGCGAAGCGCAGATACCCTCGCCTTCTGCAGCCTGGGCTTGGGCTTATCAGAAACCTTACGGCAGGGCAGCAGGTTGGAGCGTGCAAACTGGGTGTGGGCATCGACTCCCTCTCAGGGGCTCAGCTGCTTGGCACTGCTGGTGTATTTGTCACCCGTACGCTTTTCTATCTTGAAAAGTGGAAGATGTGTTGTCATTTCAGGGTCGTCTTTTTGCTGAATCTGAAACACTTTCAAACTTTTGTTAAACTGAGTTTGAGCAACCTTTTTTTTTTTTTTTTTTTTTTTTTTTAACCTTCAATGGTTTAAAACTCAAATTTGCAAGTGAGTTCCTCATGTTCTATTTTTGGTATTGTTTATTTCCTTTCTGGAGCTGAAGTGCTACACATGCCGTGCTCTTTCTTCTGCACAGCTGAAATAAGTTCTCTCCTACATACTGTGAGTGTATGTACAGTGCGCACCATCGGCCACTAGCAAATCCCAGGAAACTGGGCAATGCTTTCAGTGCAGGTGCGCAGCATTCCCCACTTGGCAGCGTGCGGGGAAAGGCACAGGAGTTTAACCCATGCTCTCTGATTTATGCTGGAATTTCTTCATCTGGAGTCCCTATTTCTTCTCTGTAGTTTTGAAGTTCAGCTGCACTAACATAGCAGATTTTGTAAAGGATTTGTGTTCTGCTTCAGGGCCAGAGTCTTCCCTTTTGGGCCCCAATATTCAGCCTTTTCTAAAGATATCAAACCGCTTGGACTATAGGGAAGGTATTGTAGGTGACACGCCTGCTGAGAGAGAAGAAATTGCCCTTGCAGTCCTATGAGAGAGAGAAATTTTGAGTGCTTATTTTTAATTCTTCAGTTGTCTGCAGATATATGTAACCATTGTCCTCAGCGCCTTAGGAACCATCACAAGGCATTGGTGGGGCACATAGTTTCTGGTCCCTAGCAAAAAAATTGAATTCTGTCCATTTACGAGCTCTTATCTCAAGGGGAGTAAAACACTTGTTAAAAAATTAATTTCTTTTTTCAAAAACATAAATATTTTATTTTCTGAGTAGAGAAGGCATCACAACTGAACTTCTTGTGAACCCTTCTGCTCATTACCTACGTATTTCCAAAACTGTGGAAAATCTTTTTATATTTTATGCCTGGTTTCCCCCAGACTTCACTTTCTGATGGTGTGTTGCTGGTGTACACATAATGACTAGCTCTTTCTCATCTTCCAGAGATCTATCGTATTGTTTCCCAGAAGCAAATGTCCGACAGACGTGAAAACGATATGTCTCCAAGCAACAACGTGGTTCCCATTCACGTCCCTCCAACCACTGAAAACAAACCAAAGATGCAGTGCTGTCAGAATATATAGAATTGTTCATTCTTTCCTGAAAGGCTGTGTATATTCCCCAGGTCCAAGATTTAAATATATTTGTAATTCTCGTGGTTACTTTCTTGTGTTTAGTTACTGCTTATTCCTTCTGAATTTCTCCATGTCTTAAACACTTTGATTTCAGTGTTTATAAATCTATTGCTTCTATGTGGCTGCAGTAGTTTCTCAACACAGACTTGTCGCTTTTGGTTCAGTAAATATTTGGGAACTGAACTGATCTCTTTCCAACACGATGCCCGCTAGTCAGAGCACAGACACCTTTAGTGAGCACTTGAAGACGTTATTCTGCTCCTCACAAAACAATTACTGTCAGGTTAACTAGGAAAATATCTCTGGGCGGGATTTCCTTGTCTTAAGGTGTTGTGTACTGCATCTAAAGCTTGATGAAATGCCCGTTGCTCTGAAGTGCAATTTTAATGTAAGTTAAATGTTTTTGGCTACATCTTCAGGTTGTCAAGTTAAGGATTTTTTTTTTTTTAATAGAATATTATGGGGGAGAAAAGAGAATTTCTTGTGAACAAGCAGCAGGCAGGGTTCTCGCTACCTGTGAAATGAGCTTTTGTGGTTTGGCACCTGCTGCAGAGGAGGTTGTGATGTGAGGCAGAGCCGCTGGGAGTCTGGCCAGGGGGACGCTGGTGGGACTCCGTTTGAGGTGCCTCTAGTGAAGAAAGCAAAAGCACGAGCTGCGAAACTGATGAAGGGTCACTCGAACACTGGAACTTGCAGCCTGTTTTTGCGCTGCCCGAGGCTTGGCCTCCACAGTGCTGGTGGTGTCAGGATTTGAGGATGCCTTTTTTCCTTCGTGATACACAGACTTGAAGGGTGTTCTCACGTATTCACATTATCACACTTATTAATACTTGCCACATATATTAATATAATCAAATGCCTGAGTTGACGAATCAACAACTTCCACAACCTGGTCTTAGTTCTCTGTTCTGTTTCATCTAGTATTTTTAAATTATTCCAGTGCTTTGGTATATGTTCTTTAGCAGAAACATCTGGAGTAGTTTTCTTACTGGATGCCTTCCTTCTGTGGTCTGTCGCTCAGTACGAATCATCTGTCGGATTAGCTTGTTCAGGGATACATGAACTGTGCCTTCTGTCACTGCACTCACTGCGTATCGCTCAGTACGTGCTATTCCCAAACACATCATTAATACTGAGATTTGGGGGCTCTAGGCACTGAATTTCTGCAGTATTTAAAAGAACCATTTGTTGTATAAATGCCTGCAGTTATTTATACAATTACAGGGAAGTAAATGATTGTAGGGGACGTTTCTCAAACTCTGATATGACCCACTTGGAATATTAAAATCTGGGTAGGCACTACCAGCTGCGTTCGTACCCAACCTTTCTGTCTTGCGGTGCTCATGATGTGTAAGGCACACGGAAGGCATTGCTGTAGTCGGTCACTTGGTTTTTTTAAATCCATTTCTCCTCCTAGTATTAGTTCTGAAGATGCTATTTTGATCTGTTTGTAAATTACTTTGTATTTTATGCATGTACTGTACTTTGATTTTTGTTATTTTTTTAGATTGATTTAAAATATATTCATCCATGATTCTAATAAAGAATTACAGGGGACGACTCAGTATGGTGTTGGATGCACTTTTTGGGAGAACTGGGATTTGACCAGAAGGTTTTTACTTACTGGAAGCTAGTAAGCTTCTTGGAGCAGGCTGCGAGAAGACACTGAAGTGGAAGTACCCCCAGAAAAGGAACTGAAAGGGTCGTGTAACACAGTTGCCTTCTTCACTCTTCTGCAGCTTTTTGGGGCTGCTGCAGTTCATAGCCGTGACAGTTTGGCAGCTTCAGGAAGCTTTTACGCTCTGAAGTCTGTGGGTTCGCTCTAGTTAAACCCCTGAATGGCTTTTACAAACACTCTTTTTTTTTTTTTTTTCTTTCCCCACATTGCCACCAGTAGGAATATCCTGTGGGACAGCAAACTGCTGCCTTCTACAGCAAATGATGTAAGCTTTTTGATCCCACTTTGGTGTCCTGCGGAAGAAGTGGTGTGCAGGAGCCAGAGTGCTGGTGAGCGTTGTGCGTGGTGTCCCTGGCAGCCCCCCGGCCGCTTGCTGCAGGCAGCAGCCACCCCTGAGCGCGTGGGGCAGTGCCGGTGGCTCTGGGGACAAAGGCAATTCGGGGCCGTTTAGCATTGCGTGAGGGTCTGAGGATGAGGTGTGAGACTGGGCACTTGCGTACTGTGGGAGCTGTTCTCACAGCGCTTTCTCTGGAGCATATTTTGGAATTAACCAAATTACCGGGGCAGCCAAGTGCTAAATTTGTCAACTGGAAACACAGGATGAGTTTCACTTCGCTTCAGTTTCTGATTCACGTAAGCAGGCAGCTCGACTCAGTTGTCACATCAGGTTTGGATTTCGCATAGTTTTATGCAAGACGCTTCCTCCTGCAGCAAATGCAACTGTGACGAAGGCTGTGAGAGCACAAATTGCTGTCGGAGGCTGAGTTTGCGTGTGCCTCTTCCTTCACCTCACAGCAAACAGTGCTGCGTTTAAGGCCTGGGCAGCTGTGAAGCGGCTGTGTGCGCTGGCAGACTAAGTAAGAACTCTGATTTTTTTTTTTATTTTATTTTATTTTTCGTCCCCACCAGAACTTTAAAATTAATAATCATAAAACAGGCCTTAGAAATGCTGTGCAAAACCTGATTTTGTACTTCTGAACTGCTGCAACATGGAACATAAAATTCTCATGCAATAGTTTGTAAAACCTTCCTAAGCTATCGACTTCTAAAGCAAAATGAAAGGGTGTGTGTACAGAGATGTAACTTCTTACCTATTAAAGCCTTTGCCTTGTGTTCCATGGTTTTGTGCTGCTTTTCCTGCCTAAGCTGCGCGGTGCTGCGGCAGCGCTCCCGGCTGGCCCCGGGCTGGGTGACGCTCCTGGGACAAGAGCGTTTTTCACAAAGTGCTTTGGGAGAGGCGTTATTCCGGCTGAACACTGACCCAGTTGGGTATTGTTCCCCTTCAGCTGCCGATTAATCATTCTCTTCTGCAGTTGGCATTACTTCTGGACTGAAGTGTCTCTTCTCTGCTAATAGGAGACAACTGATGATAACTGATACTGCTTTTGGGCCCCAAAATGAGCTTTCTGAGTTTCTGGGAACTCTGTCTAACGCTGCAAAATTGGCTTTACTTACCAAAAGCTTTTGCTATCATTTACATATTTGAAAGTCCCAATCTTAACAATTATGAAGCTGTTCAGCAAGCATCAGTGGTCCTTGTGTTTGATGGGAGTTGGGGTTCTGACTTTTAAGCAAAAAGGACATGGAATTGTTCTGATTTAAAGACATTTTTATTAAGCTAGAATTGCTTATTCTATCTGTTCAAACCTGATGAATTTCCAGCCTTAAAGAGCTTACTGAGTGTGGCTTGTCGAATAAGAAGATTACATGCTGGGCTTTAGTTAACAAGATTTTTAGAAATACGAAGCACAAATATTGAAAAAGCTTCAACATGTAGCAGTCCTCTGCATTGCCTGGGAGTCATTAATTCTGAAGGTGTTTCTGCTGCAAATCTGTGCTCGTGATTTATTGATTAGGCTCCGTGGGAGCACTGTCCAACCTGCTGAGACAGCAGCCGTGTGTCCTGTCTCATCGCTTCGCTGCTGGGTGCAGTAGGGTAGCGGTGCTGGTCTGTATCCTCCAGTGCCCACCGGAAGGCACAACAATTCGCTTGTGGCACAGTGCACTGTCACGACATGCGCTGAAATGCGTCGCGTGAAAATGGGAGAGCGCCCTGCTGTTGGCACTCGGCCCGGGTTGCTCTTTGTAGGTGTGCGGGACCGTGTCCCGTAGGGTTTGTGCGTCACCGGGGTCTCTCGCTCACTCAGACCCGCTAAGGTTAAACTGCTGTGGAACAACAGCTACTGGAGCTGTGAGAAGGATACGCACAGAGCCAGTTATGTTTTGTTTTAAAGCTGGGCCTTACTTGAAATTAACTCCAAATTACAGTCTGAGTTACAGATTTGTGTTTTCTGAGAAATTCTGCAGCCTCTGGCTCGTAACCGTGACGCCTGTGTGGTTCTTCTGTTGAGGGGGGGACAGCCCCTCCATGACCAACCCCGTCGCCTGCAGAACTCAGACCGGAACACGGTCTGGAAGTTTTAGTCTGCAAATGAGTACGTTTGCGAAATACACACTGAGAGAAATTCAATTTATTTTGTACAAGGTAGAACACCTTTGCACAGTGAACAAATATATTACAAATCTGTCTTGCCTTAAAAAAGTATTGCCATTTTGATGCCTATTTCCTAAGCTAATGCTAATATACAGGAAGGTACGTTTTTGTTGGTTTTCTTTCTTTGTTTTTTTCCTGTTAAGCTCTATGCACATCCTTGCATTTGGTTTGAAAGTCCAGCTTTGAAAAAAAAACCCAAAGCAATTAAGCACATCTCTGCTCTCTGGAGTCTCATCGCAAACTTTACAGCAACACACACACAGACATTGGTCAGGCCGGCAGCTGCGACCGCTTGTGCTAGATGGCAAAGTAGGTCTACAGCAAGAGGATTCCTTATTGAACTGCCTTTCTCTTGATATTTTTGAGGTAAGTCTTTCTATTCATGTACAGAAAATATATTCCTACTGGCCCTAGAAAATAATTGCCTACTTACATCTCAAATAAGGCTTTCCTGGAAAATAAAATTACTATTGCTGATCAGTCATTGCCCCCATGCACACATGCAGCATTCGTGTAACTACTTATGCATTATCCTGCAACATGAAAATCTGCTGCTCTGGAAGCCTGGGGGATCTCAGGGCTCAGCTCAGCTGTCTCGCCGCGACACTCTTGGGTTGCACAGAGGGGTTCAGAGCCAACCTCACCCCCCGGTGGGTCCCGGCTCCTCCAGCAGCGCATCGCCGGGGCTGCCCACGCCCTGACGCGGTGCGTTGCAGCAGCGAACCCGAGGTGCCGCGGGGGCTGCCGGCGGGGCAGTACCACAGTGCCAGCGGCGTCCATCCCCAGGGCGAGGGCTGAGCCCGTCTGCGGGGACACAGGCTGGGCCCCACCAGGGTGCTCCGAGTGATCCAGCGCCTGGTCTGACTCAGAGCCGGGATCAAGCCGCTGCCACCGAGCTGGAAGGCTCCTCTTACCAGTCCCCTGGACCAGCAGGTTACGCAAGTGATCATGCTTTGAGCAAACGGATTGGTGCTGGTTTCGTCTTCTTCTACTTCCATCAGACTGGCGAATGTGCAACAGAATTTTGTTTTTTATATTTCAGAGGCAATCAACTTGCTACTTCCATGTTTGCCTAATAAAATTACATACTTAGAATCAATACTATTTCATGCTCAAAATCTACAAGGAACTGCTTAACAGCAAGTATTCTACTTTCTAGGTCAATAAAGATTACCAAAAAAAAAAAAAAAAGTCATGGTGGCTTGGTCCAAAACTTGCCCGTGGGCCAAGCCCCTTGATAAGTACTTCACAAACAGCTGCTGAAAAAGAAAACTCAGTTTCAGCTCAATTTAATGACGTTTCAGGTAAAATCATCAATGGATAAAGTTGCACTACATGGTAATGCACATCAAATTAAAGGGTGCTGTGAATGG